GTCGCAAAACACTTACCTGGAAGACAGTAATCGCCATTCGTTTTGGAATAGATTACTGCTGATTTATTCTGACTCTTTGGGTTCGATCGTTTAGATATGAGTTGAACGAGCTTAGCAAATGGATTCCAATGCCATATGGCGTTAGCGCGAATAGCAGGGGCTTGTGTGGCACGCGATGGCATTCTTCATTTCTCTCCATGTCGCATAATTATTACAGGGTAACATGGTGGTTCTTCTTTGGAGCAAGTGGTGAGACGGTTAAGTGTCAAGGACAAAAAACGAGGAAAAGCTAGAGTTCACTGACTCGCATATACAATTAATGTGGCGCTTTAATAAATCATTGTTCTACGTCAACTGTTTAACTTCCTGATGAGTTGTAGGTTTGCTTTTTTGAGTAGCCAAATCAGTGTGCGTACTGTTTTGGGATTTTCGTGTACCTGCTTTTTCTCCTTGATTTCGCTTGTCTGGGTTAAATGTTTTGTTCGCAGTAGAGCCTCAAGTATCTGTAGCAATGTAGCGAAGTTGCTGCTCTTACGATATAATGATTGTTTCTTTAGTTTGGTTGCAGCCTTGTTGTGAGGTCCGCGCCGCCCACAATGTTTATGAGTATTCCTCCATTAGACAGATGCCAGTGCACCCAGATTTTAGACAAAATTGTTGGCGTAATTATTTGCAGTTACAGCATATTTGAGTTGAAAATGACCTGATCCAGCTCATGTTAGTGATATATTCATTAAATGCGTTCCAGTCACCTCTGTGTAGTTTTCGATTTGTTAGTAACATTGAACGTGAAGGTTTAGGTGACCCAGTACATATGTCACCAAGTACAGTGTTGTGATCACAACCAGGTAGTCGAGTATAAACGGATACATATGAGGAATGGATCACCATCGTGAATATGAGATCGTGCTGGGCTCTCTAATATGCTATGTCCAGTCATTTAAGTGGGTACAAGCGATTATTTCCTCAAGTCACGCACTGGCTCTAAGTGCATGTAGCCACCAGTTAACGTATGGCAGGTTAAAAGCCCTGCACATACGTTTGAACTCGTAGCATTGTTGTAGCGACTGCTTTTGCCGCCCGGGTCAGTGGTAAAACTTCCGCCTTGATTGAGGTTACAACTTACGCTTTAAGGCCACACTATCCGCTCAGGGTAAATTGCGCTTTCTTTTTCGGTGAAATGTGTTGAAAGTGACCGAAATGGGACAAGCAAATGAATCACTGGGAAGAAAGCGCTAAATGTGACACAGAGCAATGGTGTTGTCGGTCACCGAGAGTAACATTAAAATAGTCAACCTGCACTTTATCTGAAAATTTGGCCCGTTGTATCATATTTCAACTGGGGCACCCAGCCCCCTACGACGCCTCTTAAACATACGTGGAGCTGGAGGCAATATTGATCAGAACAATTAGCATGGATTTGGGCTGACGATAGACACAACTCACTAGAAGGTCAGTATATGGGATCATTTGACACAATGTATCTTCTAGCTTACTAAGCGCAACTTGAACAGTAGGAATCGTAATATGGCCATTACGAAGTTATATGTTACCACCACTGACCAGTTTATGTGAACGATCTTTGTGGAAAAGGTCATAGCTTGAGATGTCAAGCTGAGAGTTACTAAGTTCGGAGGTACACCAAATTTCCGCAATAAAAGCAATACCAGTGGATTGCATAAATATAAGCGTTGTAAATCTATCAAATTAAGCTTATAGGAAAAGAATGTTAATAATGACAGAGATCGGTGAGGCTGTTAGATGGGAATAAAAGTGATGCTTCAAGTCGGACTCTTCGTCTCTGTAACTAAATACTGTGTTGTGAGGTGATTGTGTCACAAAGAGCCATGCATTGTAATGAACTACATGAATTAGGTACTCCAGAAATTATGTTATTCTCTTGTTCTTCACAGCGTGTGGTGGCGGCTCGATTGCTGGAGAAATAAATTAGACCATAAAAGAACGTACAGAACGAGAGATATGAAATCTAAAAATTTGTTTTCGCTGACATTTTATTCCTTTCAGTTAAATATTGAAGTGGGTGGTGGTGAGTGAGTTGAAGGGGATAGAGTTCCTGATCTTGTGCATGTGAGTTCGACAGATTTGCTGTCAATTGGTTGATTATTTCGGCGTTCCACCTATATGGGTTTCGCCAATTTAAAGCCACCTTATTAGGAGCCATAATCAGGGATGTTGTGGGTAAATATTTTGTGGGCATTCTGCTGCTTATCCTGATAGCACTTTCGGCGTTGCAGTGGATGTCTGAAATCACGCATTTTGTTTCAGCTGGTCTAGCTGGATATCTCTACAATCTTGTGCTGGTCACTTCAGAGTTGCTAAGCTTTGAGTACTGCTAGAGGAAGTTCTGCGAAGGTGCTTCCAGTGGTATTCACCTACTCCTCGGTCAGACTTAGATTTGTTTAATGTGATGAATGTATGACGATCTGAGTTTTGGCTGTGGGCTCCATAACTTCCGCCAAATTTTGTATGTACTAGCGTGTGGTAGAAATGATAGAGGATGTTGATGTAGTCTGCAGGTGTCTCAAGATTCGGCCCCTTATCTGCTTGGTTGGCGCTGATAGGAAAGCATACGTAACTACTGCTGATTTAGGACCTCCCAGGAGGCCGATTAGGACTGAAAAGCGAATCATCGCCTACTCTGGATGACACTTTTAACTTGTTAGGATCTGCATTACTGATCCCTGCATCGTTACTTACTCCACTAGTAGGAATATCAGGGCTTAGAGGGGCTAAGTGGCCATGCTTCTGGATTAACCGTATTTGAATAGGTGCTTGATCGCTTTCGACCATAATGTTATGAAGTTAGATTTTGCAACAATTAGTCTTTTATTCTGCACGATTTTTTATACAAGCATATCGTCAGGGAACTTCAGTAGTATTAGTCATGATATCTTGATTTCCCTCATTCCCAGGATGAGGCATTTACAGGTCATTCCATTTAGATTGCACGCTGTCAGAAGAGCATGCTTAATTCTGTCAATAGCTTTCCGGGCACCTAAGATTTTGCGATTCATGTAGGCGTTCTTGACTCTCGGATGTGACTGAAGACAGGCAGAAAACAGATGTGCAGAATCAGTCTAACATAACAGTTTCTGATCCTCTAAGCAGTTCACAGAATGAGAGAAACTGATAGTAACTAGTGCTTTTCATCGTAGTAATTACTTTGTGAGCGGTAATACTACTGGCCTTTTCGGCCTGGTTGCTGGATGCTACATAAGACTTTTTCGGTGCTTAGATGATGAACGTCTCGCTTTAAGTCCAATAATGGTGGGTTACTAGCAGTGGAATCCGTGTGTTTTATAGTCATCTACGGTGAAACTTTCAGATAATGTATGAAGCTTCACATTCTTGCTGTTCTAACAAACATTTCTAGTGAATATCCACGAGTATTTGTTAAGGTAGTGAACGTACAGCTATTACGTGCTAGCATTGGGGACAATGAACAATGATTTATGCCGGGTATAACAGAAGTGGCTTGACAAGTCCCGCAGGATGGTGGGGTAAAACTACGATTATCAAAAGAAAAGTGACTTGTCTGTTTTAGCCTTTATCTAGCAGATACGCTGCTGAGTAATATGACTGTAAGTTGGAATTGTATACGATCGACGAGGCACAGTGGGGACAGTTCTAGTTGTTGTACTCCGTGCTAAAAGTAAAATCGAGAGTATACCCTGCTCTACCGCTTCTTCTGGTTTATGCAACATTTTAACCCGGTTTGAAGGGATAATCAATATATTCCGAAGTAGTACAGTTTAGGCAACGAAGTAATGGAGGCCAAGGGCAAGATCCAATCGTTTTTGAAAATATCCAGGTTTGAGGAGGACACTAGTTTGGGAGAGTTCCAGGGTTGGAAAACCCGAAAAGAAAAAGAATTCCGCTAGCATTCCAGACGGCTATACTTTGCACACAAGTTCAGAGGGTTACCTCTGAGATTGGTGTTATGGCTTAATTTCGGCAATTAATGGCATTACGTGATCTGAGTCACGCAATTTTTGTTAGACTAATATGAGATCGCCGCGCAGCCTTCGGTAGCAACCACTGGAAACTCTTAGTGAATTCCGTCTTCGATGGTAGGACAGGTTTCATAGTAACTTAATGTTCGTTGCGGCCCTGCGGTTTGATTCCTCTAGCACTTCTAAGTGGCGTTGCCAAAGTTAGACGGCTTATTTTAACGTAAGAGCACATGTAAGAAGTGTGCGTCATCAAGAATATGGAGGGGTCAAATCTTCTGAATGCTTTCAGCAGCAAACTGACGTGCTCGTTATCTCTCTTTGAACAGTTAAGTTCTCTTTGCATAAACACATCAAGGTCGCGTATTTGGAAATTTGTTTGTAATACGTGTGGCCCAAGCCCATACAAGGAGTCATACCTATAGCGCAATTGAGCAGCGTGATATTTTTCCACGCTGAACCGTAGTGTATTCAGCACTGACTCGAGATTCTCATGGTGCTTAAGTTCCTTGATCGCTCGTCATAACTTGATAGTATCCGAAAAGAGAAGGAAGTCGAAAGTAATTTACGTCGCCAAATAGTTTATGAAAATCAAGAATAACCGGGGCCAGAGCACCGAGCGTTGTGGTACGCGGAATTCCAACTCAATTGCGTTGAACAGGGATTCTAGTACTCTCACATCCAACCGACTTTCGTGCAGGAAATTGTCTATCCAACGCGGCCGTGCGTTACCAGTTAATAGAGCCGTAGTTTATGGAAGAGAATTCGGTGGTCTAAGCGATCAAACTTTTTTGAGAACTCCAGATAAATGATATCAACTGCTGCTTCACTATTAAATGCTTCAGTCTAGCTATTGCGTGCAATTAGTAAGTTCATTGAATAGAAGCGCTTTTGTCGGAAGCCATTTTGCTCTGGTGCCATCATCTTGTGATTTTCTAAATACTGCATGAGTACATCAGCGATGCTAGACTCGATAACCTTGGAAAGCACAGTGAGTAGGGTTATAGGACAGTAATTTGTTGGGTCAATGTGGCTACCTCCATCAGGAATAGGAGTAATGACCCCTCGTTTCCATATTGTTGGAATGTGGCTCTCTTCCATACAGCTCTGATAGAATATGGCCAGATGTTCCGCTAGATCAGTGGCTGCTGTCTTTAAAGCCTTCGGTCGAATGTTATCGACACCAGAAGAGCTGTGGATACGCAGGAACAACAGTTTTTTGACACTTAACTAAAAGTAGTATTGCATAAAGCTGATGGTAGGACAGTAGAAACAAGGATAACCGTTAGGTTCATTATTCTTTAAGAACATTTGTGAGTAATGGAACCGTATGAGATCGGCTGCTTCAGTTGCTGGTCGCGTGCACTCGTCAGTAGTGAGCGGCGCTGGAACTCCGCGTTGCATCTTACGAAGGCCATTAACATGTCTATACAAGCGTTTGCGATTCGTGCGGTATCCCTTACTTAACTCCTGCTGATGTGTCATTTTGTCCTCGCGGATCACACTCACACAGATGTTACGCTGTGCCACATAAGCAGTCCAGGTTTCGGAATTCTGGGAGTCCTTGTGAGCTCTCCATGCTAAGTCCCTCAGTGACATGCATTTGCGTGGTCTGCTCCTCAGAAATGACTTCCTTCTCCTTTGACGATGGAAGGATTTCTGCTCAGACATGCGCATTTCCAGTATGATAAATGTTCTTGTGAAAGTGTCTCAGACGCTTTCTTGGTGGCTTTCAGTTAAGAATGTCCAAGATACGTTCTTAACATGCGCGGATAGCCGGTTGTAGTGTGGGACCGTACATACTTATCATCCTCTTCCTCAAGATATTCCGCGTAACCTATATAGTTAAACAGTAGAGTCACATGGTCACCGCGACCCAGTGGTGTGCTTGTAGTTATTCCGTCTATTATTAGTTCTTCGTTGGTCAGCACAACATTAGGTATCGATGGCTTGTCAGCAGTTCGAAATCTGGTGGGAGAGGTCACGCGCTTGCACAGAGTAGCTGAAAATTACCTTTTTTATACAATTGTTGAACTGCATGTTACTGGACGCTACTATTTCCAGCTCGGGCACATTAAAGTCGCCAGCAATGAGAATGTGACTGTATATCTTGCTCAAAGCAACCTGAAGAAGGCGGTTTAGTTTGGTGGACGATAAATCACTGCTATAAGACGTGGGTCTTTGTCCCGCAACCATGGCCGGCACCAAAGCTAACTTGGGGCAAGAATCTCTGGGTGGTCAATAAGGTTATCTTGTAATATATAATTCCGTTACCACCTCTTTCAACACTGTCATCCGGAAACAGTGACATATCAGGTAAATTGACTTTAGAATCTGCTATCCCAAAGCTTAACCAGGTCTCCGTAGACATAATGAGATACCGCGGTTATGATGTCTGGCGTTCTAGAAGTTCGGCCAACTTACTAAGAAGAACTTAAACGCTAGCATACAAACCTGCTAGTGTTTTTGATGTTAGAAATGTATGGGTGGTCAGCAAGTTCGTGTTTTGTTTTAAGCCGACCGTTCATAGGTCGGCCTCCATTCGTTTTTTGCGTGGGTATTGGTTCTTGAATTTCAAGCAGGCTGCACGGTAGCATGGAGCATCCCAGAGCGAGAGGTTCTCTCGTGTTTCTCCCTGTCCCGTCAGGTGTCAATAATGCCATATTGTCTACAACTCGGCAGGATGGTGAAGGCAAATATTTTACTGAGGCTGCATGTTCCAATTAAATGCTGACAACTACTGACCGCCCGCCTGTTATCTTCAGCTTAATCTCGGTAGGAAACCTGGAGCGATGCTTCAACAATCTACCTAACAGGACTCCGGTCATTCCATCGTAGTGCAGCATGACTTCTAAAATTTTTGTTGTTGGAGATAAAGGAATTCTCGTTAGTGATTTGGCGTTAACTTGATCCTGAGATAGCGCTTCGCGGATGTAACACCCCAGCTCACGGTCATGTTTTTGCGTTTCGTGCTCAGGAGAGCCCAGTAGTGCAGGAACACCATGAATAAATACGGTTTCTTTGCTTTCGTTCTTAGAATGTCCACCGTGAATTTCTTTTCAGTTTGGCCATCCTTTCCAAGGAATATCTGCTATTATGCTATTCCGCACCATGAGTTACGAAGATGAACTTCTGAGAGTAGGACTACCTCAGTCTCCTCAGTTGAATTCAAGGTTACTCGAAGAAATCGGGATTCGCCATAGTGCCATGAATTTGGGTGGCGTGCTACGTGTCGTAGCCCAGTTGACACAACGCGAATATCAATCGCATCGTAGATGGAATAACACGGCTTGCGATTATCTACCAAGTTGTCCTTCATTGTGCCGAAACTGGACTCAGGAACGTTAGTGCACACGAGCGTTAACCCATAGTTGTTCTGTTTAACGATTGTCGCTTTGAGCGTTGTGGCTGTTAAGTTGGATTGTTTGGCTGGCACAAAAGAACCTTGTGCCAACGGCGTGGAATCGCTTGTACCTGGTCCAGATAATAGCTTTACGAGTATCTCTTTAGGCGTTTTATCGAGGCGATTGATTCGTATGTTACCCGGTTCTGGACTGTCGGTGTCAGCGTTGTGAACAACTCGTGAGATATTGCATCTAGGGATGAGTTACTAACAGTCACGCTGCATATGACTTGCATACTTAAAGGGTTAGCAACTGTCGGAGTAGGTGGTGCAGATGTCGTCGGGCGTTAAGCAAGCTTTAGAATTCGGGAAAGAGCTCTAAAGAGATTGCTGTAGAGAAAGTTCGGTGCTGTCAGATTCTAATGGCAAAGTCCTGAAGCTCGCCAGCGGCTGGACGGTTTCCGTCAGTTTTCCACATTTTTTCGCGAACTATATTATACATGTGAGATTTGGGATTGCTCTGAATGTTGACCAAACCAGAACGAGTCAGTCAGGTTGATTTGTTTTTTATATTGTAGTTGGTTTAAACAAGCACAAGACAGGGTGGAATAGAGGGCCGAAACATTCACGAATAATACCTTTTTTAACTGGGCCTATACACTTCTGCTTGCCACCTTTGCGGTTAGGTGGAATCATTTCCATTGAGGCCCTTTTTTGCAAACGGACGCTTCCCCTGTCTGGTCACGTGAGGTAGAGGGCGAGTGACGCTCGCCTTCTTTGTCCGAGTCGCCCTGTAGACGTCGGTTACCGTAGGCCAATGTGCCCGACGAAGACACAGGTACACGGAGTTTGGCTAGCTTATTGATCCACACTGGTTCCTGTAGCACGAATCTGTTGCAAGTGGCTTGTAGTAGGTGAATGACAGCGAAAAGTGCCGGCGATAGGCGAATGCGATTGAAACCACAGCTTGAGTCGTAGCTTCGTTGGAAGGGATCCTATGGATAGAACCACCAGACAACGCAGAGAATCCTTGATCGATCACAGTACCGCCGCAGTGAAAACTGTTAAAAAAGCTAACAGAGTAGCGCGTCTGGATAGAAATACGAAGCGCGCTAAAACAACTTGGGTAGCACAAATCACCTTCCGTAAGAAATAGTTCCGTAAAAATATACATATTGAATAGGGGGAGTAACTTGATTCGAATGAGTGTATGCTGACTGCGCTAGGTGAAGTGGAAGACGTGAAATTTCGTGACAGAGGAGAGCACGTTTAATGAGCTACCAGTCGGGATTGTGGTTCAGTGGTAGAAAGACATCCAAAAGAGGAAGAGTAAAACAAATATAACGCACTGCTTCAAACATAATAAGGGATACAAACCAACCGGTTTAGTTTCGCGCTGCTTTTGCTAGGACTTTTGTATGAAGCTCTAAGTAAGTGGAATAGATGATGCCGTGTGTTTCGGCTGAGTGGCTTGTTCCTTAGTCTCGCTTGTTCGGCCATATGGCCAGGTTTGGATGGGCGCTCCTGGGCAGGTAGCGGATGATGATCTTAGATTGTCTGGTTCCACACGCATTGAGACACCAGGTCAAGTGTAATCCACAAATGCTGAGGCGACAAAGCCAGGCGCGTATTATCCGCTGCTGTTTAGGTGCGGATGTGATGTGACCCGCACTTTAGGACCGATAGGAGCAGCGCAGTGGTACAAAGTGTTCGCAAATACGTTTGCATCCATCACTGAAAATGGCCATTATTGCTAACTAAATAAAGGAAAAGGAAGAAAATGTTTATTCTCGATGTTACGCGAGGCACACCAAAGAATGCATTATCAGTTTTGTACAATCGGAAATGTGAAACTTGCTGTTGACTAAAATATTAATTTTGGCAAGTGCGAATCATGAGATTCTTGAGATCCAGGACATGAAATGTGGTTGTGATAAATCCTTATATATTGAAATAGCAAACAGTTTTGCGAATGCGAAGTCGATGGACGAGAATGATGATTTGTTATTTATCGCAAGTAAATGTAGAATCATTGACTCCAATTGTGTTTCATTCAGTTGGATTGGTTTGACCTTGAATCGAGTGCATAATGGATAGCATTAAGAGTATCTGTTCGAAAAAATGTTGATGGCTGTGAAGCAATCCCATTGTAAGACATATGCGTGCGGCTAATACGTAGAATTCTACCAAAAGCGTTAAATTTAAATGGGAAAATGAAGCAGGGAAATAATTCCCGTTCTGTATGCTCCACTGAATAGAGCCAGTGAATCCGAGTAAAATAAATAAACGTTAATTAATAAACACCAAATTCCAGATACGCTAATTTTCGTTGGTTAGACTAAAAGTCCAGTATGCTCCAGTATGCCTGAACCTGGGGCAAACTCCATGAAAGACAAGCGGCTAGATGACCGGAAGCATTGACGTCATATGTCAAATACTTTGGGTCCAATTTTTGCCGGCAAGTGTGATGCCCCTCTTCCATGATCCAAACTCTGTACACTATGGCAAATCACGTATACTCCAATCAATGCTTTAGTAAGCCGATGATGCAGATGACCTTCTGTTGTCAGCCATTCGTCTACGTAGCACCACATACACTGTTCGTTTGTTTACAGAGGTTTCTTGGAGCGAATGTCAGCAAGGAAAACGTAATGCAGATGGCTTCCGTAGACAAAATGGGGTAATTTTGATCCTTATCTTAGGTGTCCCCGAGCATCAGAGTTCAGTCAAGTTAGAACCCATCTCACAAAACCGAGATGAACGATGCATCTTCGGTGAGACACTCACACTCGTAAACTTAGTCCGCAGGTCTACATCAAGACTATCACGATGACCCAACTACAAAAGGAGTGGTCTCCGCTTGCGCAAATTAACACTGTAATCCAAAGCATTAATAGAGAAGTTGATCGAAATATGGCGTACAATGCGCAATGTGTTGCCATCGGAAAGGCGGACAACAGTTCTAATTAGAAAAGGTAGCACTGAACAAGCAGGTCACATGTGCAACCCAGGGAAATTGTCTAAACGTGCTAAATCCCTTTGGGGGCTGAGTTTCTCGGCATTGCGAGAAATATACCTTATTGTTAAACTTCCCGAAAGCTGTAGGACTGGTTTACCAGTTACTCGCTGAAGCTAAATTCTCTTCATACCAACGCAAAATGGCCATAGAACTTGCGTCGGCCGTCCAAATTAAACGACTATCAGCCAACCTCACAAAGGGCGACATAAACACTCACCGTAATCGGCAACTGCAAATACGCTTCTAATCTCCTAGGTCCTCGTCTACTTTTGTATCAATTAATAAGGTCTTCTCAATACGTTAACCCAGTTTCCTACTCGTCAGCTACCAAGGTCTTGCGACATAGTCACGGTAGCCAAAACTTGGCTGAATACTGAGGTACTGCTACCTGCCATGATTCCGTTACAAAGGATCGACACAGCAAAGGAGGCGGCGTTATGTTGTATTGCTGATCTGCCTTGCATATTGTTATTATCGACAACCCATAAAGGTAATATCTAGATTCATTTTTGTCTTATCTGCACCTGAATCGTGGTTATATCTGTTTATTAGCAGTAG